CCTTCCTGCTCCTATGATGCTGCTGGGCCTGCTGTGTTCATCCAGCTCTGCACCTTGTTATCACTTTATGTATTTTTTTAACTGTAGACTGAAATGAGAAAATTACTGTCTTTAAAGCCAAGGATTGCTTAAGGATTATTGCCTGGTTTTTGAAAGCAAGTAACCTGACACTCATTGTAGATGCTGTTTACACAGCAGCTAGTTCTCGCAGGTGCAGACTGGATAGAGCCAAGGGTGTGTACAAATGGAGATTTAGCAGACAACAAGTGATTGATAACTGGTCACTAATCTACAGACCAATGACCAAGGTCTCTGCCACCCTGCAGCTATGTGATTTGATTCTGAGAGCTAAACAATTTGGTGGGGAAGATGTCATCAGGTCTCCACAAGACCCAGAGCTGTTTCCATTTGCTGCAATGAAGACGAGTTTATTTTACCTTCAATTTCAATAAACTGTGGTGTATAAAAGATCGCTGACTTATTAATCATAGAATCCCTATCGAGTCCACACCGACCCTCTATACCGCACTCCACCCAGATCAAGATCCCCCATCCCCGTAACCCTGCATTTACCATGGCTTATCCACCTAACCTGCTCATCCATGGATTCTATAACAAAAAATTTAGCATGGCCAATCCACCTAACCTGCACATCTTTGGACTGTGGGAGGGAACCAGAGCATCCGTTGGAAATCCACAGAGACACAGGAGAATGTGCAAACTCCACATGGCGAAGTAGCCCGAGGCTGGAATCAAACCAGGGTCCTTGGCGCTATGCGGTAGCTGTGCTAACCACTGAGCCACCATGCTGCTGATGAAAGTGTGAGCCAGTCACACTGTGCTTCCTGAAAATCAGTGAAAGCATCCAGAGAAGGATTTTGAGAAGCTGCATTCTGATCAGTATAATTTTAGAATGATACATACTTGGTATGGTTTAAAAATGAGAGTTGTGCCAATGTACGTCTGAACAAAATACAACATTTAACTGAATTCACTCGCTCAGTTCCACGAGCAATCAGGAGTGAGATTTCCCCACTTTTGAGTTTGTCCTCGGTATTCCTCACAATCTCCACTGGGCATGTCTGTAATCCAAGAATGTGCATTTTGATAGGGAAAGATCAAAATTTTAAATTACATTCAAATTTTATCTTCTAGTTTCCAAAATCAGAAGGTTTTACTATTTAATTTCACTCATTTAAAATGGCAATAAATTTCAATGTTACCTCCTTGTCTCTAATATTGGTTTCCTTGCAATATGCACATGCATGCTTTTGAGTTGTTTGGAACCATTTGGTTGAATTACATTATTTCCTATTACTCTCGGTCTCTGATTATTTCGACATGTCACAAAACAATCTTCTAAAAATTTTAACAGAACTCTTTTATCAATTTTTATCCAATAAGTCTAATTGTTGAGTTTCAACTTTTCTGAGGATGTTGGGTCATGGCTAGATATGCTCTAATTTTGTTATCCATAAGATATCCTCCAGTTGTGGGATGGCCAACTACTAATGTTAGACCTTCTTTCTTAATTTCAGAAGGGAGATGATGTAGAAGGAGGAGTAACGAGTGAAGGTAAGTCTACCTGGAATTGTCATAAGCTGTAGTTTGTGATTTGCTGTAGACCAGCCTTTAAGATACTAACTGCATTTGTGTTAGTGTGCACATTCAGGATTTCTTATCGTATTGTCTGTTCATAAGCCGTAGAAATATTCGGTAATGGTGGAGAGATTAGAGCACCAACACGCTGCTCTGGTGGTTCTCCACAGGCTGTACTGTTGATAAAGAGACTAAACAAAGTCAACACACTTTGTCAAAGGGAAGGAAAACTGACAGGTGAGTCAAACTAGGCAACTCTTTCATGTTCTTTGGCAATTGCTTCAAGGACCAGTGGTGTGGCAGCAGATAAGCTACCCGTGTTCGCACCATGGCTACGGTTGAACCAAAAAAGAATAAATTGACTTTAAAAGTATAAAATATCTTACATGGATTTTATCTATGTATTTCTTTTCAGAATTTGATAAATTTTTGGAAGAAAGAGCAAAAGCAGCAGAAAGAGTCCCAAACCTGCCTTCTGTCCTGAGTAGCAACTCCAATTCTCCTCCAGTGTCTGCTGAAAGTGTAACAAAACCGGACCGTTCCAAGGATACCCTCTGTGCTTTATAATGACGTGTGTGTGTGTGTGTGTGTGTGTGTGTGTGTGTGTGGTTCATCTGTTGTTGGGCAGGGTGCTGCTGTACAGTTTGCTATAGCTTCTCAATGCGTGGCTCGTGATGCACTCAAGTTTTATGCATCTCCATTTATTTCAGCTCCCCCAGTCAACTCATACATAAGCTGCCTTCGTAGTGGGCTCTTTGCAGTTTAAAACTGGCAGATCTTTTAAACCACTGGGTTTTAGCATTCTCCACAATTTAATGTATTATGCCCATATATAGCTGGACTTGCAACATTTCCCTGTAGTTCATATCTTAAAAAATGATTCAGTCGCACTGCCTCCTAGGTAAGAGTGCAGTTCAAGCCCAAAGGACCTACATTCTGGTTAACCTGTATCTTGCCAAAGGGAATAGGAACAGCTGGCCATTTTTGCATAATTACAAAATGTTTATTGTTAAAACGATGACAGTTTGGCAAGTGTGCTCTCTTTTTAAAAAAAAAAAAAAATTGAATCTCTAAATGAACTAGTTTCTCCGGCCAGAGTTCAGTTCTGTTGGACTATAGCATCTTTCACATTGCAGTAGGCATCATAGGAGTTTTTCTGTATTATAAGGGACATTATATTCTAAACTATATTTTAGTGATGAATATGTTAATTGTATTATATGTATAACACTAAAATGTGTTGTAATGAGAACTGTATTGGAAATATACATTAAATGTAGGATGAACCTTTATGTCACTAAAAAAAATACTTATTATTGCAGAAATAACCATGCACACTTGATATGAAGCATAGTGGTTAAAATGGCAATTTTCTAGGCGTGTGTGAAGTTATTTTATTTTGGCTAAATCCTGCTAATTTGATGTGTGAACAGTTTGGCCACAAGTGAGAGCAGTATATTTTTCCCCTCTAACCATTGATGAAATAACTAATCAATCATTAGAAGACATGTCTATAGTCTGAGACCATAGGCCTAAAATCAGGCCTGTGTAAAGCTTGATAGTACAGATTTGTGCTGATTCTAAATGTGCATAAATGGATTATATACTAGTGAGAGAGAGAGTATTCCATCTGGTTCATTCTGCTTTTGAATCCTGGAGCCCTACTGCTGTAGCGTCTGTTTCTTGAATGATAGGGGAAAAGAAGGATAACATTCTATCAGAAAGACCTTGCAAATTTTAATCTTTGTTTGCTGAAACTACCCTTTACCATTTTGTATCCTTACTGCTTTGTCCTGTTGTTGTACTGCAAATTGCCTTTTTTGCCTTTTCTATTTTCCTTTGAATTGGGCATTACCTTGTCTATTTTCTGTGAAATCCCCTCTTATTTGCTTTTTGCAGGACTGAAGTGTCTGAGGATTTTGCTGCTGCAGTACTAAGACCAGACCAGACCTTTCCCTTGAATGAGTTAACCTTAAGGTGACTGACCTTGTAATAAGAGCTGCAGGTCACGTAGTTAGAAGGTTGAAGTACTCATTACGTAATTTTGCTATTGATGTTGGTCAGTTTCAGCTTTCCGGTTTGTATTAGAGTAACAGTACTTGAGAAAGAGGCTCATGTGGTATTAAAAGCTGATGATTACATTCATGTTTTAAGTAGTAGTTCAGTAAAAGTTAATGATTCGTATGAAATTTTTTTCCGACGTGTCCAATGGAACTTTGGCTAAGTACCAACAATGCAATTAGAAATTCTTTCCAAAAGTTGGGTTATCTCTATGGAGAGTTTCTTGAATTGTAAACCAAAAGGTTGAGATAATTTTCATTAGTGGTTGAGGCCTTAGACATCCAGGCCCATAGCGTTGGGATTTTCTCAACCTGTGTGCCTCTTCCTTTCTTTCCTTTTTTTCCTTTCTCTCTTTTCTCTTTTTTCTTTTTTTTGTTTCTTTTCTGTCTCTTTCTTTCGTTCTTTCTTCTTGCGCACTCTCTCTACTAAACAAAATATTACGTTACCTGAATTAATATATTGTCTTTCAATACTCCAAGGCATACTTTCCTAAATTGGAGGAGTTATATAAATTCAAGTTTTTGTTGTTTATTTTAATCAGTACAATAATTTCTGTCATTTGAATGTATTTTCTGAAAAATTGGCAGATTTTTATTCTACATTCCCTGTCTGAATTTTAGGCCTTATCCCTCCTTTTCTCCCCACTCACTGTCTGTCCTAAGTTCAGGTTGTTAGTGTAGAACCTTGTGTCCCTGGGTGCTTTTACATTTTGTATTTTCATAGCTAAGACTGTGGGAGAGCATGTATGAAATAATTTGGTGCAAATGCACTTGCAAACCTCAGATGGCAACTGAGAATGCAAGATAGGTTTTACATTCACCTTTTTTTTTTGTTTGTTCAGAGTAGGATACTGATCTGGCCCTCTCCACTGTCGTATCCCCAGTCTCATATGGGTAATGAGCAGTCCATAATTCATGTTGTAGGTGACAGTACTGCATTTAATGTGATTAAATCATTTTTATCAGGAACCCGGTTTGCTAAATGTTGTTTCATGATAACCTGTGGAAATGTTAAAATCTCAACTTTTCAATGTTATCATTGTGAAAACTTAACCTCCTCCAAGCACTCAACAATTCTACATCCATAACAAAAATAGCAAAGAGCAGGTGCTAGACATCCAAAGTACAGACACTCAACAGCTGGTCAGACAGCATCTGCTGAGAGTGTTAACATTCTGATGAAAGATCATTGACCTTAAGTATTGCCTCTATTTATCTCTCTGCACATTAATCCTAACCTACTGAAGGTTTCCAGCATTTTCTGTTTTGATTTGAGCTATTTTAAATACTGTAATTATTGTTTTACACATTCTGAAGACCAAAATATTCTATACTGCAAGCATATTTCAAAAATCTAACAATACAAAGTAGAAACAAAATAACTCAGTGTCATCTATTGTGTGGAGGCCATGTGGTGCAATAAACAGCAACCGTGCATCTGAGCCAGAATCTCTGGGTTCAAGTCCCACCCCAGGATATGATAGCCACAGCATGTATGCTCATAACATGGTCAAACAGGTTGATCAACTCGAATATTCTTCTAATATGCCTGTGCCAGGCAATAAGAATAGTCAGCCATGCTTGATGCAGAGTGGCTGGAGCCCCTGGTGATAGATTAGCAACCATAGAAACAAACAACCATATTATATTTGGAACAAAAACGAAGTTGCTGGAAAAGCTCAGCAAGTCTGGCAGCAACTGTGGAGGAGAAAACAGAGTTAACGTTTCGGGTCTGGTGACCCTTCCTCAGAACTCTACCCTCCGGACCTGAAATGTTAACTCTGTTTTCTCCTCCACAGATGCTGCCAGACCTGCTGAGCTTTTCCAGCAACTTGGTTTTTGTTCTTGGTTTTGACAGCATCCGCAGTTCTCTTGGTTTTTATTAACCATACTATATTTGGTTGGCATCATTAAATGTGGGAGAATCTCCAATTCATCTATTCCATAAGCACCTTAATATAGGGCAGTTGTGTGATGAGTAAGTGTCTAGCATCCACTACAATGAAAGCATGTGTCTATGGTTAGGTTTATTATCTGAATGTTGTACATTGCTAGGTTATTGGTAGTTTTCTCTGCAATGAGATACAAATCTATAGATCTTACTTTTCACAAGAGTTGCTAAGTTTAGTAACAAAAATAAACACATTTCTTTCCTCTATTGGTCAGGGCTTAGACTTGTATAATCTGTTGTAAGACTGACAAATTGTAGTTATGTTTGACTTGCTGGACATTGTATGTTTATCACAACAGAGATACTAGTTTATCACAACAGAGATACTAGTTTTTCAGGTACTAGTTTGCTATTAGACACTGCTTGTTAAATTAGCACTGTGTTGAGCAGAAATACAAATTCTAAGGGGTGATATGTTTACTTGTATTAAGCACCTTTTATAATGTATTAGAAAATTTGTAGGGAAGTTGTGGGATTTGTTGCAGAGCTTTTCCCAATTCAATTGCCAAAGTAACATTAATGAGCTTTGCTGGTGAAGCTTTTGTTTGTTGCCTTTTAGACCCATTTGGATTCAGATACATGTTGTTCAGCTTTTTGTGCATCTTGTTTTATGTTTTGAGGCATGTGGCTGATTTTTCTTGTAGAAAAAAATAGGTAGAGCTAATTCAAAAGGAGGGAAACCCACAGTGATGGTTTGAATATTCAGATCTGTTCAACAAAGGCTTTGAAAACATTATGATCAGTGCAGTTTCTTGCCTCCCATCTCTCAGTTGAGCTGAGGGGTGATTTAGAATCTAACTTTATTATCTCCTTCCTTCCAAATGAGTGGGATAAATTAAACTGGCTTGGCATATGGAATCCCTGCATTCACTTTGGTGCAAGTGCGCATAAAGCTGCCTAGGATCTTAAGGTGTCAAGTTGTTTGGTTTCCGACCCATAGCCTCATATCACTATTAAGTATTTTTTGCAATGGGGGAAAAATAAACTGGAAGAATAGCCCTGCAAATCTACATAATTATACCATCCTGGAAGAATAATGTTAAATGTGTATAAAAGGTTAGTGACTGTTAATACAGATATAAATGTACAGTTCAATGGATTTATTGTAAAAAGATACTTCCAGTAACACATTCTGAGACTTTGTCTATTTATCAATGTGTGACTCGGTAGTATAAGGTATGTATAATTTGATAATCTGCCAAATGTTTTAATGTAATAAAACTAAAAGTGTGTACGTGCAATTAGCAGCAACGGAATTGAGATGTAACATTTCTCTTGTCAAGTAGCATGGTGCATAATAATGCCACTCGTCTCATTAAACCTCTTTTGGTCAATGGTGTTTGGTAACACCTTTCTGACTATCTCAGATATTGTGATAATTATTAATGACCTCAAGCAAACACAGTTAATGTTGCCTCCTTGACAGTAGACTCCTCTAAGTGTTGCCACATGCATAGGAGCAGAAAGGTCCTTCTAATTTGCAAATCATTTCAGTTGCATGCTTGTTAAAAGACTAGGTTGAAAGTGTGAGCATTTTATAACAGTAAACTTTCAGCAATCCTCAAGTGTTTAACAGTGAATGCTCTATACAAGCCTTTCAGCTTGGAAGACTGATTAAATATGTTGGGGTTTTATTTCATTTTGTTCTGTTGAGATACATATTTTGAGTTGGTATCCTTTATTATGAAACTTACTGTAAATTCACAATTGCAATTAAGGCACTTATGCTGCAAAATAACAATTGGTTCTCTATAATAGCCAAATGATATTAAAAGTTTAAATATACTGAATTCCAACGGAGAATGGAATTCTCAGATGCTGTCTTCAGTATTATCATGTACTCCCACTGAATCCAATGCAGTTTAAACTCCGTCAACATCATCCTGCCAAACCAACCTTAACTTCAGATTTAAGAAAAAAACCTGGCAGTGACCATTATGCAACACTACCCTTTTCCACCAAACCCCCTAAAAATAGACACACACAGACTTCCCAATCCCATTTTAACCCAGTAGGCTACAATTTAAGCCATGTGCTTCACCACCTCCCTCCCTCCTAAAAACAATAAAAATTGATCTTGTACGATGACAGATCAGACTTGAGGAGCCAAATGACAGCTTTGTGCTCCTATTTCTTCTTGTTGTTGTGTTCATAATATATCCCCAGTGGCATTCAGTGCACACTTACTGCTTTCCAAATGTGTAATCCTAATTTCATTAAGAAGCTTAAACTGAGATTTTTTTTGCATGCAGTTTTACCCATTTGGTTATTTTAATTCTACCTGAACAATTTAGATTGAAGTGGAAGTGCACATCTGGAAAGGTCTGATTAGGGACCTGTTGACACTTGACTTCTGCAAGGTTCATCAAGCCTCCAATTTTTTTTAAAAAGTAAATTATGTTATCTTTCTTCAGCTTTCTCTTGGTGAAAATGAGATGGGGGATGAATTTTAGAATTAACCTACATTTTGATTTGTTTCTTATTTGTTATATGTAAGGTTAATTATTATTAACTAAATGGTATGTTGGTACTGCGTGGAATTGACTACTTTATACAAGGCTTGTTAAAAATATAACCAACTCAAAATTATGCAGCTTAGCAGTATGATCCCTTTACTTATATTCGTAACACTACACAACCTCAAAGGCTGTAAGAGCTAAACCTCTGTTAATCAGTCAGCACACGAGTATGGTTAATATTTATTTATTAACTTTTTAGGTTTTGTTTCCATATATAAGAAAATGTTCCTTTATATGCTTGTCCATAAATTCTTATTTCACTAAGTTGTGTTTCTGCAGACTTGTGAATTATGTCATAATGTGTTGCAGATTGTATGTGTGATTTGTACTGAACTGTCACTACTGTTTAAATTCTGTTGTGCTTGATTCTTGCATGTAATGTTACAAATAAATGTGTACTGGTGTGTTGTTCTTTTGTTGTGGTGTCTAATTCATTGCTTAATTTGATATGTATTTGTGGTTTGAGCGGGTGCATTGTACCCTGAATTAGACTGTCAAGTCTGAACCTGGGAGCTAGCGTATATTTAAACGTTGCTATTTATTCTGGAAGATTCAGCATTGCTTAGCTTTTTTTTTTTTTTCTCTCATACCTTCAGTGTAAGGTAAAGCATCTATTGTACATTCTAATGGTATTTTTTGACTGCAGTGTGTCTTGCAGATGCACTTTTTAATTTGCCCAAAAGGAGGTACAATGGGTTGAATAAGCTCCTACTTTTTAAATTTTCTATGGAGAGCAGCATAAAGATGCCAATGAGCTGATAGTTTTCGAGAGAGGAATTCTTCTACAAGTCATTGCAATCTTTACTGCACTTGGCCCTTTCCCTTTATCTTTCTCTGAAAGGCAATGACTTACCCAACGATGTTGTTTCACAGACACCTCCAATACTAATTCACCTTGAACCGTATTCTTTATGCATGAACCAAAGTAATAAATTCTGAAGAAAAGTCATTGGACTCAAAACATTAATTCTGTTTCTTTCTCAATGCTGCCAGACCTGAATTTCTCCAGCACTTTATTTTTATTTTTGCAATACTTCGTTTTATTACCAGAGCAGGATGAGACTACATCTTGTTAGATTCTGAGAGCATCACAACAGAGCTACCTCCTGTTCTTTTTCATCCATATCGAGACATGGTGTCACTTTTCAGTGAGTAGGCCACACCTACTGGATTTTCCCAGAATTTAGTTTCCTGTGATCCATTTGTCCCATATTCTTCTGGGCAGCAGTTCTGAGTAGGGAGGGGTTGGCTGAGCAAGCTGCTCTGGTCCACCAACACCACCCAACCTTTAACATTTGAGTATGATGAGCTTATAGTCTTTGTTGTTACCAATGTCAGCTCCATTCAATCTGCTGCCTCTCCAACAGTTGTCCCTTTCACCACCTAGTGGAACAAACATCATCTAAATCTACTCCTGACAAATCCTTGGAATAGTTTCTTAGAAAGCCACATCAGAAGTTGATCAGAGATCTGGCTCTACTAGACCAGGTAACAAAGATAGGATTAATTAACAATCTCATAGTGAAGGTGTCCCTGGGTATTAGCAATCATAATATCACATTTTAGTTTGAGGGACAGAGGATTAGATCTGAGAATGCTCGTGTAGATTTAAATGAGGGCATGAAAGCAGAGCTGACTAAAATGAATTGGCAGTTAGGGTTAATCAATATAGATGCAGTGTGCACATTTAAGGAGATAGTTTGGAATGTGTTTATTCTCTGTCTTCCAAAGAGTTTAAACATAAATCCAAGGGATGGACTAAAGTCTAAAAATTGCATCAAACATAAAGAAAAATCATTTTAATTGTGAAAACACGATTAATAGGTCTGAAGATTGGATAGAACAGAGATTTTGTATTGGTCTTCATGATAGATAATACAAGTTTTGTTCAATGTGAAGACTACAAGAAACATCTAAAAGTCAAGAAATGAAAGGAGGGGATAAATGCAGGAAAATTAGGATGCTAGAGATGTGTTACTGAATAAATGGTTGGGAGCTGCAGTCTGACAAGTGCCCTTCTTCTGATGAATTTCAACCTAAGGCCTTAAGTGGCTAGTTAAATAGTTGATTAATTGGTTTTAATTTTCCAGAACTCCCTAGATTTGGGGAATAACACATAAGATTGTAAGATCCCTAAAAGGAAGGGAGACTGAAGTTAGGATACTTTAAGCCAGTTACTTTAACATCTGATGCAGGGACAATTGTTAGAGGCTATTAATGAAAAAAAAGTTATAGCAGGACACTAGGATAAGTTAAAGGTAATTGAGCAGAGTCAGCATGGTTTTGGTAAAAGGAAATTACGTTTGTCTATTGGGAGTGTTTGAAAAATTATCACATGCTGTGGATAAATGGGCAACATGTAGATGTACGGTACTTGAATTTCCAGAAGGCATTTGATAAAATGTCGCATCAAAGGCTATTGTAGAAAATAAAATTTTAGCATAGAGCAGTGTTCTCCCTCACTCCTTGAATTTGTGTAACCCAGGATCTATGCCAGAGAAAATATAAAGTAAGCAGTTGGTTCTAGATTTACATAGCACTAAAAACAAAGTAGATATTCATTTTATCCTCAAAACTTCAGGGTGACCCCTGTGACTGCATGTTATCAAAAATCACATGACACCATGTTATGGTCTAACAGGTTTATTTGAAAACCAGCTTTCAGAGCCTCACTCCTCCTTCGTGTGTTGAGAAAGGTAGTATCAAACGCAGAATTTATAAGTTAAAAAAATCAAAGGGTCACAGCATTGATGAGGATGTACTAAACCAACCTAAGATGCTGTTAAATCTTTAATCAGAAGATTTTAATTGATTAATATGTATATGTAAATCCCCAAATTCCTTTCAAGTCACTATCCTGAGAACTAAAGGTTTTCAGTGTAAAGAAGAGGTGACATTTTAGGTCAGACAATGCATGTTAGGTGTGAGGCCCTGTTTAAAATCTGTTTGTGTTGGTTTGGCGTCTGACTGGTTTTATTTCTAAAGTAGGAATTTATAAAACGCCACATTGACTGATTATCTACAAATTGTGTGCTTTTTGAACAACATACAATGTATCTGCAAATTCACCCCATAGATTTGCGTGTGTGTGGATCGAAGGATCTGTTTCCATGCTTTATGACTCTAGTGATGGTAGTGTCCATGACAATAATGTACAATTCCGTAAATATAACTAAGACTGCAGATATTTCCTCATTCAAAGAATGTGAAGTTTCACCACTGATGACTGCCCTGCCTTGCTAGGATGACAGGAATTTTTTTAATCATGTTTACTGATCTGCATTTAAAGTCTGGTTGGGCACATTAACATAGAAATAGCTCACAAAAGAAACTTGTCTAGTTATGGACTGACTGTGCTGTTGTTTGTTTTGCTCTGCAAAGTAATTGGAAGGGAAAGAAAGTTTAGAACCACAAGGAATACGTCAGACATCAGCTGCACAAGGGATCTTTATTCTCCTCTCAGTCATATCTCTTTTTTTAAATATATAATCTTGGCTCTAAATTGTATTCCAAAGCAAACATTATTACCCTGAAGTGACCTCGCAAGTTTTACTGTAAATTGTTGCTGCTTCAACTTGACTGAGTTGGAGTCATACAACACAGAAACAGACCCTTCAGTCCAACCAGTCCAGGCCGACCATAATCCCAAACTAAGCAAGACCCAGTTGCTTGCGCTTGGCCCATATCCCTCCAAACATTTCTTATTCATGTACTTATCAAAATGTCGTTTAAACATTGTAACTGTTTCTGTATCCAACACTTTCTCTGGAGGTTCATTACATACGTGAACCACTCTCTATGTTAAAAAAAAGTTGTTCCTCGTGTCTTTTTTTTTTCTTAATCTTTCTCCCCTCACCTTAAAGACTTGAAATCCCCCACCCTAGGAAAAAGACACCCACCATTCACCTTATCATTACCCTCATGCTTTCTGTCCAGTGTGTTCTTCAATGATATCATTGGTGGTCCCTCACAGACAAGGATGACTCTCTTCCACTCAGGGTGAGTCCGTAAGTGGCTGTACAGTCCAATGCGGCTTCTGCAGACTATGCCACACTTGGGGCAGAAGATGGTCATGGGAAGGGGACGGGTGGGGCACTGGTGTGGCAACACGCTCCTTACCCTGTTTTCGGCTGGCTTCCACTTTTTACAATAAGTCAAATTACAGACATCTGCAATGCGTGAAATTTGCAATAACTTGTTTTATTTTGTTGAGATAATCTTAGATCTTCTGGTTGTGATGAGTGACCTGTACACATCCACCTCATTCTTCAGCAGATACTTCAATATTATTCTTCCTTCCACCCAACGAAAACCCAGCAATTTCCCCCACAATGGTTGTATTTGGTTTCCAGAAAAGCTAGGGGCAATAAAAAGACAAACCCCTCAATTTAAGAACACATTGGAGCTCAGACGGTTCTAAGTTTTAAACAATTATTATTATGGGTTGAGAAGTTACTGGAATGAGCCCACTTGGAAATATCAAAGGCTCAGTGCAAATCTTAAATTATTCGCATATGAAATGCACTCTGAGCAGATGGCATGGACCTTACCATAAACAACAAGCTTTAATGAGAAGCAAACATATGGAGGAAGGCATGTGAAAACTTAATGATCTTAAAAGTCTTAAATTAAGGCTTCAGCTTTCTCCTTTTTGTTTAAACTAATTAACAACCCATGTATGATTGTTTAGTTTTGTTTAAGGTTTGGCCACGGGATATAGAATTAGTAAGATAATCAAGATTTGTTAACTTAGCTTTAAGAAATTGAAATAAATTGTTGGATGTTAAGAAATAACTAATCATCCCAACTTCTGATGTTCATAAATTGGTGGTTTGAGAAATATCTCAGTCACCTAAACTTATTGGAATTTTGATCTTTGTTTCAATATTATTGTATCTCTGGTGCATTGTGCTTGGGTTGACCAAGAAAATTAACTAAAACGTTTACACTTTGTTGCCACATACTGAGGTCTTGCCGAAGCTAAGAAATGTCTTGCAATAATTTTACTGATTACGGGATAGTGTGATGAAGCTGCAGTCTGGAATACATTGTTAGATCTACTGTTCATTTTTTCCATTTTCTCTGCCTTAGTGACATTTTTGATTGTTGCTTGGATATCATTCAACATGGCCCTTTTGATCAGTTGAAACATTTTTAACATATAATGGGGAGGATCTGGTTGTTGTGGTTCATGTCAGGACAAACAACGTAGGCAACACGAAGACAGAGTACCTGTTTGGGGTTCACCAGGAACTAGGACCTAAGTTAAAGAACAGGTCGTCCACGTTTATTATCTCTGGATTACTACCCGAGCCAGTGCAAATTGGCATAGGGACGCAAGAATAAGGGAAGTGAACACATGGCTAAAGGAGTGATGCAGGAAATAGGGGCACTGGTGTCAGTATTGGAACA